AAAACAAAAACTTTTTCGCATAAGGTAATCCAATCCAGTATTGTTAATAGTTCTTGCCTTCCTGGCATATCACACATAAACAGCAAGTGTTCATCCATACTTAGTTACTTACAATCCTAAGAAATGCCAATTCCTATAGAGTCACTTTGGAAATTCTGTAATAATTTGTTATCAAAGATAGAAAACAAGGAAAACACATTTAAACATAAAAAGCACATACATGAGTTGAACACTAGCAAATAGTGAATGAAAATATGAAATAATGAGTACAAGTGGGTCATGGATTAACGAATAACTAGTCACGAATCTTTTGGGTGCATGTCGAAGGGAGAGGAAAATTGAACACAACTTTACGGATGTAAGTCCTCCCCTTTGACACTTGAGCCAAGGGACATCCATCATTGGCAACAATTAGTGATACATTAACAAATATAAACAATTCAAAAATAAATGCATGCTCATTTCGAACACCTCTACAGCTGCAACGTCTCTACTATATTCACCAATAGATACTTTGTCAAGACAAAAAGCAACTGTACATAGTACATAAAAGAGCACAGAAGACAAGAGGAAAAGGAAGGGAGGACCTATGATTCAACAGACCTGGTTGACTTGATCCAACTTGCTAATAATGTTAAGTCGTACATCAGGAAACTCATCCTTCAGAAGAGAAAGAAATATTGGAAGTAGATGTTCAATGGTTGCATCCTGTACCATTAAAGAAGCAAAAGTTCAATAATACAGAAAATTTACAAGGGTGATTAACCAATTTAATATTATCTCTAATTATCTAGAAAGTAGACAAAAGAACAAGTAAACCAACTTATGTTGTTGTACATGCAATAATAGAACTTATACGAACTGTTGAGTCAAGAATGTTAAAGGCAGGGTAATCATAGAGCACTTTGTATGATGAACATCAGAATTGAAATGGAAAATTAAGGAAATGAAACTACATTCTATAGGTTTATCTCCATAGTTAATAAATTGAATGAGATGTCCTATTAATATTAAATTTCTTACTTTCCCCAAAATAGGAGCCATTCCCATTATGACAGAAGCCAAAGCAGATCGCACATGCTGGGAAGAATCTGATGACAATTCCTACAATATTTAGGAAACAAGTTAGTGGGACCCAAGGTGCACAACCCAACAAAAGATAGGCTTTGGTAAACAGTCTATTAGTACATCAAGGATGTACCTTCACACATGGAAGAATATGCTGAATAGCAAGTTCAGGACTAAGAATCCGACAAAATTTGGTGACTTTCCCAGCAGCAGCTATACGTACTTCCGCTTCATTATCTCGAAGTAAGCGTACATAAGCAGGAACCAAATCCGTCCTTTTTATTATACCATGGGAATTACTAATCAGATTCTATGAAATAATTTTTTTCCCAACAACAAGCACAGAAAGCTTAAAAGGGAAGGAGGTAGTATATATTCCTTTGACATATGATAGGCGTACGTTGATAAAAATAAAAACAGCATGTTAGACAAGTACCTTGTTGGTTCGGGCCCAACAGCTTCACATAGCTCATATAACTGGTTTGCCACCAAATACCGGACACGCCAAGACTTATCCTGATATGATATGCACAATATGTAGCATTAATAGAATAAACATATTTTCTTTCTTTTGGGAAGCTAATCTGAAATTATTCACTAGTAAGAGGTGGTAATACCCCAGTAACTCATCAAGATATCAAGAGGTTAAATGACCACAAACTTTGGCATATTAGTTATTCAAAAAGTTCTATAAGTTCACCGAAGGGGAAGTCTAAAGTGCCTCTAAAGTACAAAGGAATAAATCGCAAATGAAGTGATGTAAACGACTTCCATCGTTTTTCTAGAGCCTAATACTAACCTAGGCATGTAATAGAAAGTAGACAGCATTACAGCACTATTTATAGTATGGATGGTTTAGGCAAAGAAACTATATAAAAAGATCCACATAACCATTTCAGCAGTATAGAATTCTACCTGAGAGAAGTTGACCACAACAGGCAAGATATGGCCAATACAATCTTGGGGCTCCAGTAATTTGCCTAAAGCACCACAGCCCTCTACAGCTAATAGGCGAACAGAGTCCTGATCTGAAAGGATGCAAATTATTTAAGCCTCAAATGTTCTATCCATTTTTGAAATGCAACTCAAACTCTTATTCTGCTATCAGCAGTTAGTTTTTGGAAAGTTAACAAGAAACAATCCTTTAATGTCTAATCACATAAGATTACATATTCACATATTACAACTATAAACAACTTAAGGATTATATTTACTTACCATCATGAGTAAGATCATCAAATATTGACATGATGTCATTCTTGAGGTGAGCAGGTTCAACACTAACAGCAAACTTTGCCAGGTTTGTTGCAGCAGACCTTCTTACCATAGGCATATCATCCTGGCATAGCTGGCTATATATTGACCGCAATTCTGTCTTTAGTGTCTCAGAGGCACTTGCATAAGCAATATGAAAGAGTCCACATGCAGACACTCTGGCAGTAAACCATTCACCAGCTGCCAGCCTCTATATGAGGCAAATAAGATCAAAGTAAACATCAGAAAGATTATATATAAATATCATGATAGCAGCTAAAAGGGGGGAGAAAAAAAGGAAAAAATAATAATAATAAACAAACAGCAAAAAGAGTTTTATGAAGAGCAATAGCCAAGGGTCTAAAATCTTAGATTCTGTACTATGTCAGGCACTACAGAGACAGAAAAGTTCCATTTTGATAAAATATAAAAACTAAACTCCAATCGCAAGCATGTGGCATTCCAAGTGATGAAAGGTAGAATTGGAACCAGGAAATTAGGCTGCAGTTTACAATGGAAAAAGAATACTAGGACACCAAAAATAAGTAATCCTCTACAAAGCAAAGAAATCATAACTCTTGGCACAATGGTAAACAAGAGATGATGAAAGAAAAATATGAACTATAAATTATCATCTAACCTTCACAAGAGGTATAAACCAATCAACCAAATCAGCCTCCCGCATCTGAGCCCCAATTCTGCACAAGGATTCCACAGCCTTTTCTCTCACACAGGTCTCCTCCACTGAGCAAAGTGTCTCTAAGGGCGGGAGCAACACATGAGCATGCTCCACACCTCCAACATAAGGAATAAACACAGCTAACTCTTCTGCCATTGCAAGCAACACCTCATCATCGTCATCATTGTTCTCACTCAGGAATGGGATTAACTCCTTCCGAGTTCTTTCCTCCCCAAGTGCACGTGCTATAGTAGATAGCCTCCGGACAGAATTCAACCGCAGTTGAATGTCATCATTCTTTAGCTCCTCTATCAACACAGCTATTGGGTACAGTGGCTCGTCAGCCATTGCCATTGTGTCGTCAAAATTTACTCGCAGCTACATTAATAAGCAAATAAACAAACAAAACCCCCAGTTAGAAAGGTCAGCTTCACCAAATGTCCAAATTCAAACACATCACTTGCTCAAGTATCAAAAGCCTAATATCTTCACTGCAAACAAAAACAGAAATTTAACATACTCAAAGCACCAAGGAAATACAAAATTAGAACAGGGTGAAAGCCTTGCAGCTTAAAAGGCAAGAGTTGCATTACCAGAAACATCAAAAACAATCATGCACGCTGTACATATTTATACAATTATACATATTACACATCCATACATCAGATCTTTTTTATTTTGGGATTCGTTAGTGTGTGGAACTCAGAAGGCAGTCAAGATACATTGCTGCTTGCATCTAATAGTTGAAATCAGAAAATGTACAAATTTTCCTTTTTTCTTAATTATGATTAATTTTAGCTCTTTGTTAATGACTAAGAGAAAATAAGAAATGACAACGCTATAAGCCAGCTTAAAAGAGCGACTAAAGTTTAATCAACCAAATTCATATATCCGTAAGCATTGAATTTAAACTATGACTTCTTCCAACATCGTAAAGAATTCAAGAAACCACCCGTCGAATCTGAGATCTAAAGAAAACCCTAACCTTCAATTCTTCGAATATAGAGAAATTGAATGAAGCGCTACAATTGTAAAGGCCAAAAACACAGAGATTCAAAGCATATTCTATAAAGCTGCAGATATTAACATGAAGATATGTACACACGAAGAAATTTGCAAACACGCATATCTATAGACATGCATCGTACATATGTACACTTGTGTGCACATGTTTCAATGAATTAGTCTGTATTTGTGTGTAGATAAGGAGAGAATAGTGTTACCGGAGGAAATGAGCTCCCGCCAGCCGGCGCCTGAGATTCGAAGTTGTCGTTGTTTCTTTCGCCGGAGATACAAAGAGAATGTGTTGAATAGGTCGTGGTATTTTGAATTCCGTTAAAAGAACGTGGCTCGAGAGCGTTTGTGTGCTTTTACTTTTGGGGCTTGGGTAATTTCATTCCGATCCCTGAAGTTTCTAGCAACTTGTAATCTGGCCCTCCATAGGTTCAGGCGCTTTCAGTTCATTTTTTTTTTTGCTTATCATTTTTATGTTTTTTTTTTTATCAAAAAAAAAATATTGAAGAGCAGATAACGTATTTATCAACCTATATTTTCTTAGTTAGAAAATACACAATTATTTCAAACTTATAGAAAATAAAAATTATTTAAAACTTAAATTTTTTTTATATCAAGTGCAACACCTTCTTCGTCAACTTCATCACTAGTTTTCACTCGAAAATAAAAAGAAACATCACAATTATGGACCCTAATGAGCTGTTATTACTTATTACAGGTCATTAATCGAAACATTATATTAATATATTTATGTGCATAATTATAATTTTTAAAAATTTAAATATTTAATTGACTTCCCGTATAAAGTTTGAAAATTTATTTGACTTTTTTCTAAAATAAATAAATAAATTATTAAAATATTACGGAGTATATGATATTGAATGCAAACAAAAGAGCATTTCATAATTATAACGACGTCGTATCAATGAAATTAACTCTTTTTTCCCTCTCTTATAAGGCACGCCAGAGTTCGTGAGAGCTCATTTTAAAGTATACAAGGGAATTTGCAGATAATTTTCCCGCGGTCTTCTTCTTCTTCTTCACAGTGTGATTCCACTTAACCTTCTGATCGATGCCTCCTAAATCAGATAGCAGTGAAGGCAATTCATCTTTCTCTCTATATTTATATGCGTGTTGCGTGTATGTATTATGTGTGTATATCCAATTAAATGCAAATGGCACCGACATTTAGAAACAAATTCAGAAACTTCGGATTTGGTCATTTCATATCGAGAACCGATTATCAGATCTGTTTATCATTTACGAATGATTTGTTTATTTATTTTGGTTTGCGATTTTCAGGAATTGTGCTCAACTTCGTGAACGAGGTAAGATTCATACTTCTCTTCACGTAATCTGACTCTATTTTCTGATCTTTAGCTTCAAAGTAAGTTCTCGTAGATAGAGTTAGGGCTACCGGCTATGAGGTTCTTTTTTCATTGTTATTTCCGTTTGGCTTCATGATAAACTCTTATCCGTTGGCTTTGCTCTTTTGAGGCTTTGAGCTGATGTTGGATTTGTGAGTTATGTGTTTGATTAGGTTATTCAGTGAAATTTCAAATTTATTTTGCTCTTAGAATGTCCTGTTTATGTGTCTTTCTATTCTCTTCTAAAATGTTGGGTATCTTAAGAGTCATATGTAGGCTGTGCTAGAAGTTTTCTCATCTGGTAGTGTTTCCAAGACATATTTGTACGAGTCATGTGATAATTTTGTGGTAATTATATTTTGAATATATTCCAATATATATGCAATATAGTAGCTGGTAATAATTTTCTGCTGTGGGATTGTTTTGGTAATCTGAATTTTGTTCTCTGAGCCTTGATTTAGATATGGTGAAACCAAATATCGTAAAACTTTAATTAGCATGAGCTAGCTTTAACAATTCCTTTTGATCTATCTTTTTCCGTGTATGAAGTAAATTTTCTGGTCACTAGGTCTCTGTTGAGGATTGCTATGGTAACCACACTTCTATGCAAAGAGCTTTATATATGTGAACTGTGAAGATGGTTGCATATTTTATTGGTATACTCTAATAGTTAAATTCAATGCATGGTGTAACAAAAAGTGATGTTGCTAGTTTTTAGATGTTAATGAAAGATCTATGTGTTCAAAAAAGCATGTGGTATTCATCATTAAAATAAACACTTGTATTTTTACCCTCTTTTTATTGCCATTGTTAAATATTCATTGGCTCTTACATGATGCTTGACTTTTTTTTTTCTTTACTTTTACTTTTCCAGCAAAACAGACCTTTGAATGCTCAAAGTGTGGCCGACTGTCTGCAAAAGTTTAACCTTAAGAAAACTGCAGTACAGAAGGCACTGGACAGTCTTGCTGACAGTGGAAAAATATCATTCAAGGAGTATGGCAAACAAAAGATATATATTGCTCGGCAAGATCAGTTTGATATTCCAGACACTGAAGAGCTTAATCGAATGAAGGAAGAAAATGCCAAGCTGCAAGAGATGCTGGGTGAACAAAGGAGAGAAATCAGTGAGGTTGAGGGAGGTACTTCTTCAAAATCTTTATGCCTTTTGCATAAACAAATCATTTCTAGCTTTCTAATTACTTCTTAATATGAACTTGTGATCGATTCAGTTCTTAAAATAATGTAGCTCAAGTTTCCCTTATACTCCAATGATTTGACACTGCTGTTGCAGAAATTAAAGCTTTGCAATCAAATTTGACACTGGAAGAGATACGTGCTAGGGAAACCAACCAAAGAAACGAGGTTGAAAGGAAGAAAGCTATGAAAAGTTTTTGCCAAAAGGATATATTTTCAACTGAAGGCCTTTTATGTAATATACTGAACTTCTGGTCATTTTCAGGCTGAGGAGATGGAAAAGAAATTGACTAAATTGAGGGAAGGAGTCACCCTAGTGAGCCCAGAAGAGAGAAAAGCTGTGGAGGAATTGTATACTGAAACACTAAATCAGTGGAGAAGGCGTAAGAGAATGTTCAAAGATGTCTGGGATGCTATTACTGAGAACTCACCCAAGGATATCAAGGAATTTAAGGTATTTACACATAGATTCTCTATCCGTTATTTCATTCCAGTGACTAGTCTTTGCAAAGATAAACTTCAATGATCATTCACATTCTCAGGAGGAACTTGGAATCGAGTATGATGAAGATGTTGGTGTCAGTTTGCAGTCTTTTGCTGATCTAATGCAACAAGGAAAGAAGCGTTCTAGGGGCCAGTAAGTGCTTTTTTCGCCCAGAGGTTATTGGAGCTTATATATTCCAAAAGCAGCAGTTCCAGATAATAAAAACAGAAAAGACTTTGAAAGCTAAAACAAAGAGGCAAAAGTTCTTTGCTAATTAAGAACTATTTTGAATATCCTCCAGCTAGGTCAAACAAGCATTAATTATAATTGTAGCTTGCAGTTTTTTAGAATTCTATGGGGCATATTGTTGTCTGATAGAGTGATAGATAATGTGGGATTGTTTATGGCTAAAAGATACTGTGAGGTTGTCAAGCATGTTACATGTGCGGATTTTGAAATCTATGGGTACGCACTACGCAAATCTTAATGTGTAAATTCACTATCCAGGTTACATGTGAAAAATAAATAATTAGAGTGAATGTAAAATAATGTGACATCCTATAACTATTTGAACAAAATTCAAAAAAAGATTTATGAAATTTTACGAAATAATTAACATAGTTTCTTGTTGAGTAATTTTGTAATACTTTTCTATAGACAATTTTACAAAGACTAATTATTTTATTGTTTCACAAATTGTCAATTACTTCTGTTACACATCTTCAAACTAAATTTATGTCAAAACTGTAACGCAATATAGTTATTTGAAATATTCTCACATTTTTTATATTGATTGTTCACTTTGGAACTTATATCACTAAAACATATTTCATATCTTTCAAAATTTACTTAATTATACAATTTGAGATAATTTCGGGGGAGGCATTTGATTTTAATTTCGTGATAATGAAACATCAATTTTTGGTTAAAAAAAGAAAAGGGTAATTTTGTCTCAAAAGTATTTATTTGTCATCCCATTTACTATGAAATTAAAAATACCAATAGAGACACTAAATTCTAATTCAATGAAAATGAAAAAATTACAATTCCCTCAACCGAAAAATTTACTTGTTTTTAAAATTATGTGAGAATGAGATTCTAATTCTCTTCATCAAAACAATGCAAGATTGAGAACATAAATGAATCTAATAGAGTAATAGAGGCGAAAGCAATTGTTATATACTGTGGACCAAGATCTACCATTAATATGGTAAACCCTATCAAAATTAATTACAAATGTAAATGTAATTAATAAATTATTTACCTATTATAATTATCATATGTACATATATTATGTTCATTCAATTTATAAATTATATAATTAACATATTTTCAATTTATTTCCAAGTACATATTTTGACTAAACATGACATTAACTATAGGTACCCGATCTAAAATGATTTTTGACCAGAGCCTGAACCCCATAGCATAAATTGTCATGATAATAAACAAATTTAAAAAAGAGTTCGTACTTAGATTTCAATAAAAGGAGACTTCTCTTTTTAACAGCATGGGCTTAATAGCTTATTCTCACTCTAATTGACATTTGAATCACGGTATATAAATTCATCCTATTTTTTGCAAATCAAATACTCCATCGCATTTTGTATCTGATTCAATTATCAAGGGATTGAAATTATTTTTAATTCAATTTTTCATAATATTAAGTTTAGTATTAGTATATGAAATATATGTATTTAAAAACTACATTAAAAGTATTATTAAACACAATTAAATTGAAAAATAATTTTTAAAACAAATATTAAATAAATTAAACAAAATAAAAAAATCATTTACCAATAAATAATAAACATCACATATAAAATACATAGTAGAGCAACTCAAAACATCCAAACTAATATCAATCCCAAAACGATAAACTTGACAAAGATCTAAAACCAAAACTCAAGGTAAATACTGTTTGCTATATCTTAAGAATCCTTCCTTGATTTATATCTGGAAACAGGTTCAATTGTACCATAATGACAAGTTGATACATATACTTGCCATTTCCTTACCTAGGTATGCTGAGTTGGCCATCGTCAGGAAAGCAATTTTTAACATGAAAAATTCACATAAAAATTGTAACGTCACATTTACTAATGAACAAATTTCCTATTTTTCTACAGAAATGAAAAAGTGCAGGAAAGAAAAATAGAATGTTACTCTTTTTTTAGGTATACTCAGGATTTCCACCGTCGAACACAGTGACTAAGTTGCGTTGTACTCCCTCCAATATGGATAGAATGTTACTCTACATATATATATGGAACAAACACGTCAAATTGTCTCAAGTTAACTTGATCATCTGGTAAATGTACCTTTCTTGCATATAACACAAAAATCCTGTCAGCAAAATATATAATGGGAAACCAAAGACCTTGTGGTCAAGCTATAACTATGACTCTCCCAAATTTGATGTCACAGGTTCAAACTCCAGTGGAGGCATTTACTCCTGCTTCAGTAGGTTGAAAAAGTATATATGAACAAATACTACTCAATATATATATAATGGGGATACCCAGCCATAATATCTACACACTACAGGTTTTGCTAATGATGGCACCCTCACCTGCAGGCCATGGCATAACAACTTGTAGCATTGGCAGCACAAATCAGAATTCTTTGACATGCATCAACAAATTAGCTTATAACATCATTTCGAATATTTTTTTTGACAACTGAGACTACAGTTTTAGTAAGGGGGTCTTAGATGGTGACTCAGATGAGGATGGAGATCAGAATACAGCCATCATAAAGAGAGTAGGAAGTGAAACTCACCTGTTTTATGCTATATATCTCAAGGGAGGGTGCATTATTATTAAATGTAACATGAATTCACCAGTTTGGATTAAGACAGCAAAATATGAACCATAAGCAGCAGTTCAAGAAAATTAAGTAGGTAATCCGTAATCATATGTAGCCATTCAGAAGAAGACTTCAGTAATTTCAATTATTTGCAAGTTTAGGGAAAAGGTCAACTTCCTGCACTGTGTTATGAGAGGATGTACATAGGATAATTTGGAAAACGTGCGACTATAGACAAAAACTGGTTCAATTACAGAAAAATTACAAGCATTATAGACTCCAACATTTCTAACTTGTAAAGGAATTGATATGCTCCAACAGCCTAGCCTAACTTAAGGAAATACATGCATGATAAAAATTTCATAAAGGCCTCATTTAAGTTGTCATGCATATTATAATTTATAATTTATAATATAATTATAATAAGACAGCTATGACTAAGTTATTACATGGGCAAAGCATTGAGAATACAGGATGTAAATCAGAATGGAACCAAACATAAAGTATATATGTTGTCAGTAAAAACAATCTACAGTGAATATCCATCTATAATAATATATTAATACTCTCTAATAAGCTAGACTGAAATTTAAGTATCAAAAGAGTAACACACACATCCATGCTCACAACCATTACCCTGGAGTTTGAATAATGCTACAGTATTTCACTATTACTATCACAATTGTTAATTTGATGTAGCAAAACTGCAAAAGGTCAATCCAAGTTTTGCTAACAATCTTTAATGAATCACCACTCAGATTACATATTTACATCCAACTCATATCAGAGAAAAACAGACCAACAAAAGTTGTGAAACTCAAAAAAGTCAAGATTGCACAAGAATAAATTTTATAGCAAATTTGTATAGATAAATTAGATTCTTTTCAATATTATAACATACCATAATACCATAATTACTGGATGTAGAACACTATATCCCTCTTCATATGCTCATTCTGTCAAAATGAATTACCTTGTTCTTCAGGAGAAAAAGCAGAAAATGAAGAAATCGGAAGAGAATACATAGGGACCAGAGGCAAATTTACTTAAATGCAACTCAGGCTAAGGCAGATCACAGATTGGCCAAAAACCAAAACTAAATGCAGAGAGGAAAGAAATTAAGAGCTCTACATCCAAAATTTCAAAGGGAGGAAAGGCATTGGGAGCTTTTTCATTGCACTGATTTGCTAGTGGCTCCTGGGAAGGAGAAGTAGGTAAAACTTTCTATGTAGCTCTCCTTTCAGGAAATGCTGTCAACCTGAACATCTCATTCTACTTCAGTATACTGTGAACAAAGCAGGTATCATGAACGTGTAGAGGTGCAACGTGAATCATTTAAAGCCTTACTTTATCCTTTTACAGGGGTTTCACAACTTTTGAGGGCATTTGTTTCAAGATAACCTTGCAAGATTACATGTGGAGATCCAGAAAGAGATAGTACAGACGTAAATTATCACATGCTAGAAATTCAAAGTTGACATGCATAGTTGAACAGTCCTAGTATCATAATTAACACATGTTGAAATATGAAGAGATCCTTAGCTACCTCTCAAGCATATATAAATACATGGGCTTTTGCAATATTTCTATCACATCATCACCAATCTAGAAATCAAGTTATCAATCCATTCTAACTCTTGTTTCTTGCTTAACACAAAGAGAATTCTCCTAACGGCATGTCGTGAACTGACTACTGGCTCCTTGCCACCACTGAACCTTACAACTCATTATTCTTAACAGAGATTACCATATTTGCTTGAAAAATAGTGAGCTAATTTGCATAACCACATTACTGCCATGGGTGGTAATGTGGATTCCCATAAGGAAAGAAAATTGAAATAAATGTGTTAGGATAAATTACTAAATATACAGTGCATTCTCAGGAAAAGGGAGAAAAAACAAATTGCCAAACACAGGTATGCAACATTCACCTTGTGATTTTATCATTTTATTTCCAAAGTTATTCACAGAAGACATGTCAACGCAACATCACTACAAATGAAATTATTGGAAATCTATATTCCCAAACACCCTCACTAACAAAGTTACTGGCTATTAATCCAACACCCATGAAATACTAATATTTGGATCTTCTTTAGCATTCAATAGACAAAGCCCTAACCACTAGACAGATTAATATTGAAAAACTTAGATGATGAATGCTACTCATTACATAAAATACTAAGGGGGCATTTGATTCAAACTTCAGAATTGGAATCAAATACTTGGTAACTGTAAAAAAATTAATAAAACCTCTTTGTTTCGTTTGGAGTAAAAGAGAAAATCAAAATTGATAAATGAATGTGTGTGTGCGTGTATAATGCACACTATGTAAGTATGTATTGCATAATATATTTAATGCACACAATATATGTACTCAAATTCCACAACCAACACATGGATAATGGCCTTCTCTTATTTCCTTTACTTCCCTTTTTTTTCAAAGTCCAAAAGGGATGGGGAAGGTATAATGCATTTGTCATCACTAAAAGATTTGAATTTGATATTGGAGTAACAGAAGTGAGGAAAAACAAACAAGGTAATCAAAACCAAACCAAATCTGATAATGCAGTACAAAAGGCATGAAACCAAGCACTCCTCAATAAAATCAAAAGAAAGACTAAAATGTGTGTGTGTGTGTGTGTGTGTGTATTTATTGTATTCATGCATGTGTGCATATAGAAGAAAAAGTAGGAAAAAGTACACCAATAAATAGTGCAACACCATGCATTGACTCCGAGATAGATGGATATGATCAGGATACAAACCTCACAATAATATGGGCCTCATTTTTAGGTCATTCCATCAGAATTTAGAATAGAGCTGATATTATGATAACAGAAACAAGAACATTCTAATGCAACAATAGTATGATAATTGCTTTACCTAATTCCTGATTTCAAGAAATTTATAAAGCAGATGATGATGCTTCATCATTACTGCTCATAACTATAAACAGCAGCAATATGAACGACCAGACAGTTTATCATCAGAAAGTATTTAGTAGAAATGTCATTAGGAGTACTTACTATAATTGCAGAAGCATGGAGCAATACCCTATAAAGAAACAAAGCCATATCAAATACCAATCTTTACATAGCAGAGCAAAAGGTTTCTAAAAAAAAACAAACAGCACAAGAATCAAGGGGTTAACTCACTCCACTTCACAATATCAAGGCTGCATCTGAGCATCTCCTGTCATACATTGCTCTGGAATGACCATTACACGAATCAGATTTAAGGTAATTCAGTAAGAGGACTGACTTGTTTAATTAATTGCTAAAGAAAAAATGCATTGAAGTCCAGGCCACTAATGCAGGGACCTTAAATAGCAAGGCATTGTGTGAAATTAAGGTAATGCAAAATCAACATCCAACCTATATATAATATAGAAGTGCAAAACAGATTCATGCATCTGTTTTAGCATCAATTACAGACAACACACTGCTACACCAGAAAAATAATAATAAGTAACAATAATCAACAAAGTATGAGCATGAAATCCCATACAAAGTAGGGCTAAAATCACAAACAAAGATAACCAAATAATCTATAATTGACATTAAAGGCACAAAGAAAAACCACAGTTAAATGCTTTCATAGTAAGCTCCTATCAAACAAGCCAAGGTACCTTCTCCAGTGTGCCTTTTAAGCATCTAAAGCACTGAATGGTTGCCTCATAATCCTGATAGATATCCTGAATGAAAAACTAAATTAGAATTCCCATGAATTTTAAACAGAAAATAAAACACGAAAAGCAAGAGATACTAAGCACAATATATAATAAAGAACCAGAATTTCTAAATAATAATTCAACAATAAGAAAAATAAATATTAACCCAAAGCAGTAAAATTTTCACATGCCATACAAATAACCATGTGTCTACTAAAATACTTTGAAAATGCTAATCCTGCAAAATTGCAGGAATTCTGTCCAATGTACATCTTATATAATGATAAGGAATTTAAAATTTGCACTTTTAAGCTCTCTAATGGTCACCATAAAGAATTGAGTACAAAAGGAGAAACGCCTTTGGCAAGTTATCTTACAATAGAAACAGAAAATATTCCACCGAAAGAACTGCCAAGAAAGAGGCCTCTCCCCAATCAGATATCTTCTCTGCCAAATTCAACCATGTCAAACACTGGCCAAACTCCAAGCTCTTAAGCCAGCACAGAGGGTCAAAACAGATTAATGCTCAATAATTAGAGGAATTATTGTGAAGTTAGATATCACAGTTCTACAACAATCTATGGTGACAGCATGTCTAGCTAGAAAATCATCATCAGTGTTCACTTGCCCGTGATGAATGGATGACTTAATGCCTGAGAAACTGTGAGTCTCTTATCTGGATCTAGCACAAAAATTCTGTCAAGAAGATCTTTAAAATGTGTTAACATCTTCGGATCCTCACCAGGAGAACCTGAAATTATTGCACCAATATCTCTTGGTCTGATATTAACAATCAACTTCCGTATCGCCTGCACACCCAATCAAATAAAAAGTCCATTGAAAGTTCTAATCAATAACCTGGAAAATGCAATAAAGAACCACGAACATTACAACCTTACCTTCTTTGTAACAGGGTCCTCTTCAGTGGCATAAAAATTGAGATCTTGATCAAAATGTTGGTCAGTAAATGCTCCCTGTAATAGTTGAGAATGATCAATTCATCTTTTGACATAGGTACAAAATCCATGCACAGTGGCAGCTACAATCATACTACACTATCAACAAACTAAAAACCAGGTTGCATTCAAGCTATGAAAACTCACTAGACAGATTTGAATGCAGAGGGAAGGGAATCACACATTAAATAACCAATCAAACTAACCTTTCGAAGCATCTTTTTTGGAAATGGACCTTTCAACTCCATATGAAGACGAAGCATGTCATTGTTCGTAGGGCCAGGAAAAAGAACTTTCCCAGTGTAAAGTTCAAATATACAGCAACCAACTGACCACATATCAATTGGATGGTCATAGGGCAAGCCCAAAACTGCAACAGGAAGAAAGAGCTAAGTGAACTGATAATCAGATTACAAAGGATTCAGAAAGAAACAACATATAAATGCAACTAGCAGAAAAAGTTAAACATAAAACAACAGTTGAAAATCATACAAAAAAATACTTACTTATCTCTGGAGCACGATAAAAACGGCTCACAAGGTATGGAGTGATATCATTCTTCCCCGCAAACATGGCATTACCAAAATCACAAAGCTTCAGCACATTTTTTGCTTCATTCACCTGCCAAAGCAAATGCAGTGAGATGTAATTATGTAAGTGATACAACAAGATTAAAATGGAGCAACAGATGAAAACCTAGAGACGAAAATACATAGAGAGGGGGTTAAGTTCAAATACCAGCATGTTATCTGGTTTAATATCAGAGTGAAGAACACCACAGTTCTTTAAATGTTTCAAAGAAATGAATAGTTGTTTTGCATATGTCCTCACAGCAGTAAGTTTTAGTCCAATATTACGGCCAAACTTCTTTAAAACCTCACGTAGATTCATATGAAGAGACTCAAAAACCAAGCACAGATGATTCCGGTACTTGAAGCTAGAAAGAAAACGAACACAGTGGCGCCGGTCTTCAGGATCTGCACCAACCAACTTCTTCAATATCACCAACTCTTCCATACCTGCCTTATACCTAAGTGTTGCATCACAAAGAAATCAGGATTGCTAATAAAAGCAGGGAAACTGTAAGACAGGAACAGGCAAAAGAATAAAGCACACATACATTGTGTCATTATTACGTATCATTTTAATCGCAACCTCTTCAGGGTCACCAGGTTTAGCTTTGAGATCTCTAGCACGGACAACTGTGGAGAACACACCTTTTCCATGTGAAGCAATAATTTCATATCGGCCATCAAGTACTTCTCCAAAACGGTAACCTATGTATCAAAAGTTATAAAAGATGAAAAAACATTAGAAACAAGATGTACAACAAATGAGAGAATTTTACACCATAAAGGAATCAAGAAAATTTCAAAAAAATCATCTGAAACAAAATGAAACCATTTTCATTTGTTCAATTGCCTCACAAGATATTCAAACTATTGCATAATGGTCAGAAGCTAAAGACCAAAACTATGGTACTTGGTTGTGACAATCTATTTTTCTCTGAATATGTACTAAAGAGTTCATCTCATACTACAAAAACACTCCAACAATAAAGACAAAGAATAACTGTAACATCAAGCAGTTAACTTACTATAATAGCCTTCTGCATCATCCCAGTTATCATGCAGGCCATTACGCTCAATCATCAAACCATCTCCTTTACCCTGACATATGAAAGAAAAAACTAAAACTGAGAATATGGGGGGAAAAACAAACAAAAAAAAAAACTTAAACTTCCAGTAACTAATATAATCACCATATCAAGTAAAAACAAATCCAGTAACTGATTAATACAAAAGAATCACAAAAATTCTAGATACCAATATAGAATTTCTTTTGCTCATGTTACAAAGAGAAGGGGGAAAACAGGAAAAGGAGAAGAGTTAAACATCCAAGTTATTAGGAAAAATAAGATATCTTCCAAATTATTTAGTAGGCATAAGCCTGTTTTTCAGTGCTTTCCTCTTTATGGTCTGTTGCAGGGTAGAAACTAGGAGAATAAAGGTGACTCATGAATGAGCAGTAGCTTGCTTAAAACAATAGAGTACAATACCAAAGCTATCATTTAAAAATAAAAATCACATCAAATCCAATATTGTCTTCCAAGTTCCACCCCAACACATTCTCAAATGAGAGCTTAAACTGTTAATTGGTCACATTATGTTACATATCCAAAATGTCCGGATTTTGATGTTATTAACGAATTTTATGTGTAATTAAAGAAACCACTGAATCTACAAGTCTGCAACAACTAGAAACTTCAAGAAATCTTGGAACCAAGTCAACCAACCAATACTAAGTACAATCCAAAATCATTCAGTTTTGTAATTCCTTCTTTGAAAAGTATTAGGGTATTGACAGATAGCTGATGAATGGATTAATCAAAAAAAATTGCTCATATAATGTTGTTACTGCATTTGGTTCAAAAAGAAAAAACGTTTTAGTTTGTTGAAGAAACTAATAACATAAATACATTTGGATTCATATTTTGTGTAGGCAAATGGTGGATGGGTTGGTGAATATGAGTTCCACTGGAAAGTGGGAGAGTGAGACCCAAAGGTGCAGCAGAGTATGTCGAGAGAAGTGGGAAAGGGGATACACCGTGGAGGTGGTATTATGGGGGTAAGTAGTTGAGCTTTCATAATAGGCCAAGTGATGTGTATGTGGAGGACAGCAGACAGCAGTCAAAGGGTGGTGAGAAGAGTATGGGGTATATCGGGGAAGGTGAGCTATGGTCAATCACGTAAGGCAGCAACGAAATGTATGTGCCTATGTGGGGTAATCAAGAGAGATATAGAAGAGTAAGGTTAGGGAAAATAGCTAGGCAGGGTCAAAGTTTGGCAAGTGTGGTGTTGGTCAAGAAATGTATGACATAAAGTAGGCCAAGCCTACTACCATTTAAGTAGGAGGTGTTATGATCACAGCCAAATGAACGAGTCACAGGGCGATTAACACTATGATGAGAGTTGAATTGAAGGAATAAGGGAGGAAAGGCAAAAGCTGAATTTCATTGAAAAACAAGATACTGGGAATGTTTTGAAAGTGTTCATACCTCTGTTTTTATCTTACTTAACTTCCTTGTCTCTCTTATTAGTATGAAAATCCCCTTTATATAGGAAGTTACACAAAATCGATGAAGATGGAAAGCAAAATTATTAGACATCTATAAAGGAAATAAATCAAATTCAAATAGCAAAGATATTTTAGAACAAATTAATCAATCTCCTAATTTTCATATCATCAATCCCCTCTGAGAGATCAAGCTTGAAATTAGAAATAGTGGGAATGGTGTATTCCGGCGCTTTTGGTTCAATTGGCTCGTCTTCCACTTCGTCATTAAAGTTGAGCATGTATAGTTGTTGTTTGCAACAATGGCCATTTACCCATGGGTCATCACAATTATAACATTTGCCCATTTTTCTCCATTCCAACATATGCTCTATTGAGAGACGCTTGATGTGTGGGGGCTTGAAAGGAGGTTGCTAACAAGATTGCAAAAAGGCGCTAGTCGGGCGTCTGGGGGGCGCCAAGCGCCTAGGTGCAGCCTAGGCGGCCCAGTAATAATAATAATAATAATAAAATAATAATAGGCTCCAACCGCTCGACACAGTCCACAGGCCTGAGCGTCGTGCCCGTCATCCAAAGCTTCCAACCGTCCACTCGCCACAACCACACTCCACGTTGTCGTCGTCACCACAATCGTCCAACCTAGAGGTTTGCGACTCGGCCAAGTGGGGGCCAGTTGGGTGTCTAGTCCGCCAACAAAAAGGCGCCTAGGGGTGAAATCCCCTCAGCCTAGGAGCGCCTAGCCGATTTTTACAACACCTGGTTTATATTTTACGGTGATAGTATTTCTAGATGGAGTACCAGCCCATTGGAGACTATTGTGGCGGTGGTGCCAAATTGCCTAGTAATTGTGCTTTGCAAGCATAGTCACGATCTACATTGATGGCTTGGCTTCATCCAATGAAACAAGTCTACTTCGTTCAACATCAATTTGGAGAACTTCATCTAAACCGGCTATGAATAAATCCACTTGTTGGTCATATCAAACTTTATTTGTCCTCGCAAGCATCGTTTGAAAATTGTCCTTGTATTCGTCTAGGTATTTGCCACTTTGCTTCAATTTGGCAAACTCCCCAAGAAGATTAAGGCTTCAAGGCAGACTAAAACAAAGGGTGCATACATCTCTGAAGGTTTGCACAATAAATATTTGCCATCATGGATCCTTCTTGTGTACCAAAGTAGGGTCGTCTACATCATGTGGAAGCTTACTTTCTCGTGCTCCAGCATATGTATTGGGTACAAAATACAGTATGCAAGGGTGTAGCCAAACCAACGTGTCTTCCTTACCTAAAAAAGTAGGACATCCCACTTGGTGTAGCGCATTTGTGGCGTAACTTCATATGGGTGTGGGTGCGACCGGTGGCATTGTCTACCACAATCATTGATGGCTTTGAAGGAGATGGGTGGCTATTTTGTTTGACCAACAAGGTTACCACTAATTTGCCAAAGTTGTCTACTGCATTGGTCAAGGTTTGGACTGAGTTTGCTACAACTTCAATTTTTTAATGGATGTTTGCATTGATTGCATTGAAGTTTGGAGAGCCTAGACTTCTGCTTGCAATGTCATCCATTTTGTTTCCCAACAACAAAACCAAAATGTTATGATCACAGGCAAACGCATTAGGCGATTAACACTTCTAGAGGTTGTTAGCGATCGGCCTCTGTTGAGAGATGAATTGAATGAACGAGGGAGAAAAAGCAAAAGCTTAATTTAATTGGAGAACAAGATATTGAGAACATGGTTGAAAAAATCGCTAGGTGCTCCTCGGGCACTCGGGGGCGCCTGGTGCTCTAGGCGGTGATTAATCGGTGCCTAAGCGCCCGTGTATTTTTTATTTTATTTTTTATTTTTAAAAATTTGTTTAAAATTTTGTAATGTTTTAAGACTTGATAATTATAAACTATTAATACTAAAATATTAAATATTAACCTTAAAAACATCTAGAGTTTGAACAATTTAGGGTTACTTCACTCAAAACGATGTCGTATTGAGTGAAATAACCCATTTAAAAAAGAAGGGAACAATAGCTAATCGGCCAAGTAAGCGACCTTGTCGATGCCTAGACAGCCTAGTCAGTCGGTGCCTAGGAGTCCTAGCTTAGGCGGCCGCCTAAACCACCGATTATGGTGATACGCTAGGCGGCCAGCCAGCGCCTAGGTGGGTTTTTGCAACACTATTCTAAGAATTCTGAGAGTCTGGCCAGCTTTGTTTTTATATCTTAAATTCTTGTTTGTCCCTTTTATTATTATGATGGAAATTACATTTATATAGAAGGATTACAAAGAGTGAATAAAATTTAAAAGGAAGGGAGAATCACCATGGCTCCTTACGACAATTATTAGACATCTATAAAGGAAATAAATCAAATTCAAATAGCAAAGATATTTTAGAATCAATTAATCAATCTCCTTATTTTCCTGTTTCATATCACAAGGTCAAGAGATTAAAAAAAACAATTGTCTAACAATCCACTGAGAAAGATGACTCTAACGGTGGAAGCAAGGGTAAAGTCAAAGTAGGGTCAAGGAACTGGGTTGGATGGAGATTTAGACATTTAGTTGCTGGTGCTTGATGTTAAAAACAAAAACAGAAAAATGCAACTTTCTGTTTTCAAAAAAGGCCTTATTGAAGACCAAAACAAAACAAAATTGAAACTTGCCAAACAGCACCTTAATAATCAGGTTGCTTCCATGATCCCACAAACAAATTGTAGTTGACTCATGGTTTTTAACAAGTATACATATTTGTTGTAGATTTCGTGAAGTTCATAATTACACATTAACAATGACATTATGCAATGATTTGGCATTAATCCCACATTTTAAGAAATGTATTCTTCCATTTTGTTACCTTATCTTTCATACCATTTTAGAATAACAGTTTTTAAAAATAATACAATATTTTGGATATCCTCCAACTGGCATACATTTACACATACGCACACAAATATGTAAATACAACATGAAAACTTCAAAAGATGGGTGAAAGGAAAGCAAAACTAAAAGGTTGGCATGCACTAGCCAAATCTAGAACTTACAGTTTTATGTACTGCAGGTGATTCTCCAAATATGTCATCACAGAACATGTCATTTGATCTCTCACTCTGCAACATACAACAATTACAGAACAGCCAATGAGTTATATTAGCCTTAAAAATTAATAAAGAAACTGACAGGCACCCCAAGAAGAGGTACATTTCTCTTGAAAAATGAACACTGAGAACTCTTCAAAAAAATGAAGTCCTGAAAGAATTCATTATGCAAATAGAGAACAGGAGAAATCAATTACAGTATCATAATGGAAATTGGTATACCTTCGGAGTGCCCTGTCCCAAACCACCAGCTCCAGAATTCTGATCATTTGTAGCAAACCCTTCTTGGTTAGGTGATTTCCCAACAGAAATTACTTTGTCACCAGAACGGCTTTCTCCACCTTCAGCTCTGCCATCAACAGCTTCTGGCATATGGTTTCCACCAACTTCAAGCTCAGAAGAATGCTCAATTACCTCCTTAGCTGTTCATTACAGATAAATTCACTGTTATAGAAGCACTAATCTAGATCCCCATACATGGAGAAGCACAAAAAAATGTAGAATAAATCTCTCTGAATAACTGCAAATGATTGTCACAATCCAGTTATACAAGCAAGGGTGAAAAGAGGGAGATAGTTTAAACAAAGTTGCAAAACAAGGATTTTTGTAATTGCATATTAAGAAAAGTAAATCAACCCAAACAGGTTAAAACATCTTAAGAGAGGGACTTGCCAGTGTCTTCCAATTGAGTTTTAGGATGCAACTGTAGATTCTTATACTTTTCAAGTATGGCTAGCTTGCGCTTCCTACTCTCCTCCTTAATCCTGTCTAGTTCTTCCTCTTCTTCGTGTTCAGCAAGTTGAAATGAAATCTCTTCCTGATAGTCCTGTTCATCCTCATCTCTGCAACCCACCAAAACCAGAAGCCATCAAAGATAATGCCCATTGAAGAATATTATCTATATTGCAAACAACGAATGCATAAAAAAAGACACCTTTTAGATATATCAGTTTCAATTTCATGAAGTTTTTGGTCAGAAATCTTTATTACTGGATCATTTTTCTTCTCTCTGTGGCCAGTCCCATCATCCTTTATGCGCCTGGAAGCACTATACTTATCTCGATCACCATAGCTACTACCAAGATCATCATATTTATTGGTCCTGCGGTATCTATCAGTCTCCTTGTCCCTCTCTTTGTCCCTACTTCTACCTCTGCTGCTTTCCCTATCACTTTCCCACCTACTCTCCCTCTCCCTCTTGCGGTCATTATCCCATTGCCTGTCCCTATAATTATCCCTTTCCCTCTCCCTCTCTCTCTCACGAGCTCTATCTCTTTCTATTTCCTTTTCCCTTACCCTCTCCCTCTCATGAGCTCTATCTTCTTCTATTTCCTTTTCCCTTACCCTCCCCCTCTCATGAGCTCTACCTCTTTCCATTTCCTTTTGCCTTACCCTCTCCCTTTCCCTATTTCTCTCAGTTACTCTGTCTCCTTCATTTCCTTGTGTCCTTCCCCTCTCCCTGTCTCTATTTTTTGTTCGATCCCTATCAATCTCTCGGCTTCCTTCCCTATACCTTTCAGCAGTCTCATGACTATGAAACCTGTCATCTTGGCTACTATATCTGCTACGACTAGAACTGCGCTCTCTTTCTTTTTCCTTCAAAAAACCTTGGCTGCCATGGCAATAGTCTCTGATGAGTCCAGTCACTCTTTCATAATCCTTATCACCCTTATATTTCCTATCCTTATAAAATACACCCTCTGGCTTATGAAACACTTCTGAAATAGAAACCTCCTCAGAAGTGCTTTGAGATTGTGGCAATCCTCTAGACCGATCAGGTGACTTTGAATCCTTCCCATAAGGACCCTCATCTTCATATCCATCACGAGGTAATGCAACCTTGGCAGTCTTGCGTCTCTTCCCAGCATTGTCAGGTGTCAAAGATCTTTTCCTGTCCTTTAAATCATTTCTATCACCATAGTAATGCTTCTGTGTCCTACTTTCTTCAATAGGAGAACATTTTCCCTCATGTTTGTGGCGCTCACCGACTAAGTTCCCATTGGCAAGATATTTTTCACTAAAAATTCCTTCCCAACTCAACCCCTCATGATTCTTACTTCTGTCAGCTTCTTCCACTTTCTTTTCAATGGGCATACCAAAATTAGGCCCTTCAGCATGAGCTTCATGATGGTCCTGCAAATGAAATATCAGATAAAAAGGATTAAATTGGAAAAGTCTCTGGTACATAGATGAAAAGCACCAATTATTGCTTACTGAGCAAATGAAAGCCATCACACTTCAAGACAAATCTACAGTGGCATTGCCCTGGGAATATAGTGTAATAGTGTGGTGCAAAGTTCTAAATGGAACACAAATTCTGATATCCATGCCGTGCAAACAGGTTTCTAACATACTTACACACCGGCATACCCACAGTTAAAACACCATCATAACCGGAAATCAAACAAATACCCGGTTCAGTTTGCTTGGGGCTTGCTAGAAAAGAGAGAAAACTTAGAAGGAAAAAAAAATTGCATTGCAAAGGAATGTGGGGAAAAAAAATCAAATGTTTTTGTACTCAAACCACCATTTATTTATTTTTATTTTTTTTAAAAGGAAATTTGTCAATTCTGAAATTCAAAATTCTTTAGCAGCAACTGTCCCATAAACCAAACTGAAGACTCAATAAATAATGTAAATAGCAGTCAAACTTAGAAAGAGACGATGAGGGGAGCTGAACACACCATGTCCGAGCTCAATTTCTTGTTCTCAATATCTTCAGCAACATCATAAGCAGCAGAAGTAGGTGGAACATCGTCCTCAATAATCTCTCCTTCCTCCATATCATAATCGATCCCCAAATTCGAACTGCTCATAGCCACACCCACTGCTCCGCTTCCAAGGACCTCCTTTCCGCCCTCAGTTTCAACCTCAGCCTCCTTAACCTCCGTTTCGAGTTTCGAATCAATCTCTTCGTGCTTCTTTCCGTGGTGGCGATGGTGGCGACGCCGGTGGTGGTGGTGGTGGTGACCGTGCTTACGACGCTTCGAAGGCTCGTCAGTTTCGACATCGGAATGAGAGGAACGGTGGTGCTTGCGACGAGCAGGGTCACTGGAATCACTGGTCATGTTGGCTGGAATTGAATTGGGTTTGCAAGAATTAGGGTTTGGCTCTGCAGAGAGTTCGCTAAACGGGTGAGAAATTCCTTTCGGGTTCGAAATTCAGATACATCCGCGTTCGGTATAAACTACGAGACTACGAGTATAAAGGACGATGACAATAATTATGCAAATTAATGTAAGGGATATTATTTTATGATAAAATTGTATTTTTAATCCTTTAATTATTTATTTTAATTCTTAACTTTTATTATTATTAATAAATAATAAGTAATAAATATATAAATTTAAAAAACTGCATTTTTTTAAGTATCGACTCTATTACAGTTTTAATTTCTTTTTAGTCACTCCATGTCATTTAAGTTTTTTCATGGTTTTTTGTCACGACTACTTCGATGAAGGTGAGAGAGAAAAGGAAAACAATGTTGGATGATATAGAAATTAAAAAGAAAATTGCTAATTTACACGCCCATTGCACGTGTTATCTGGGCGCAATTAATAAGCCTAACGGGCTAACATCATGCTTAATTTAGTCATCGACTATTGTGGCATTGCTATATTTAAAAATATCGTAAATATCAAATGATATAATATCATACTCATAGAAGTATGTTCGAACTATGAGTTACGATATTGAAACACAGTGATATTCTTAAATTGACATATAACAAAGGAAAAAATTCATACACATATCCTAACTCATATTTCTATGAGTTACGATATTACATAATTTGATATTTACAATATTTATAATGTGTTTGAAATATGAGTTACGATATGTGTAAAGGCCTTTTTCCTTTATTATTTCAATTCTATCGATAAATTAATGAAATTTTTAACTGAAGACTAATGGTGGCAATCAAATAAAAGTCATTGGTTATATTTAATATGGCAAAATTAAAATGATAGGACTAAATGTGGCAATGCCACTATAGTCGATAACTAAAAGTGAAAGTTGCTCAAAATCATGGATGTAATATGACAAAATTAAAAGAATATGACTGAATGTGACAATGCCACAATAGTCAATGACTAAATGTTCAATGTCATGTATATAATACGGCAAAATTAAAAGAATAAAACTAAATGTGACAATGCTACAAATAGTTGATGACTAAAAGTGGATGCTTTATTCAAAACTTTAGAGTGCACTTTTACAAAACTACATAATACATATGTTGATACATCTAAAAAATTAAATCCAAAACTAAATCATATATAATATTACCAGGACTATGTGGTCCAATGGTACCCGGGTTGGATTTTCATTAGGAAGGTTGTGAGTTCAAGCCTTAATGGAGGCGTTATTAGCTTTTTGTGTTTCAGTAGGTTGAGAAAGTATATGAACAGATACTACAATGTAATAGAGCTAGTAGCATTCAAAAAAAAAAAATCATATATAATATTAAACCCCCTAAATGGTTTTAGTTGAGGCTATGGCTATCAAAGGGGCAGGTTTATTCAGACTGCCAGCTGGTTTGCACGATGTTGGAGAGTTCTTCCCTGAATTATTCATACGTTAGTTGTATTCTGTGTGATTGCCTTGATCTCAAACGATATTTTGTGAAGGTATCGTTCCGTTTTATTTCTCGATCAGCAAATACGTTAACTCACGCTCTGGCTAGAGCTACAGTGTCTCAGTCTGGTCCTCATTATTGGTTTTCTTCTATTCCTACATGTATTGAACACTTTATTATTCATAATTAATATATTCGCTTCTTTTGGCTCTAAAAAAACCCCCTAAATAGGACTAGTTAACACATAAACCAAACTATTTTTTTTTTTTTTTTTAAACTATAAGTATAAATTCTAAAAGTTGAATTCTAAGGTGTTTAGTTCATTGAATGTACCTTGAAGAATTTTAGACCATTCATATGTTTGGTTAAAATTAATGTATGTAATATAAATATGTTCGGTTGATGAGTTATCTTTTTATGTTATAATGGTTATTTTGCTTTAATATCTTGAACCAATTGTCACGTATGCACGGTTGATCTTACTTGAAGTTGTGATTTATAATGATTTTGACTTAGCAAATATACAATACAACACCAATGTACCACCGGTATCACACCACTCCTCAAATATTGACCGTCCAATCTCACATCACAATTGTGATGTGATGCATTAATGCAATGATCTATATTTATCATGCCAAAATCATTATAAATCACAAGACCGAACAAAATCAACCGTACACAATGATACACCACTCCTCAGATTTCAGCCTTCAAATCTCACATTTGCATACGTTAAGCAGCTTGCTGGTCAAGAATCGAGATCAAGTCAAACCTGCTGGTTTAGACCTTGAATCACGAAAGTTACTTGTGCACTTCTGCTATCTTTATAAGAAAGTTCTTGCCTTCCTGGTAGTAATATAATCTTAACCTAAAATATGAAGACACATATTTCATTTCCCACTATAAAGTGTCGGGTTCCATGCCTTGAAAACGTTTCCATCAACTTTGTTCTTAGTTTATTTTTTTCAACAAAAATGCAGCATTTCATTGTTCCCATATCTATGCCATCCTTTGTAGAGTATTTTTTTTTTTTTTGTCCTCAGTATTATACACTTATAATTCATTAGTGATGCAGAATTCTTAATGCAGTATATGGGTATTCAATTCAGGATAAAGAGGCAGATCAGAGATGGAAGATGCTCCACAATTGAAGGATGGTTGGTGATTGGATAGAGAGTCAAAGCCTCAGAGGAGAACCTGCAAAACATTCACAGGGATATATAAATGAAGTGACTGGAACCATACTTGGGATTAATCTGCATATTTCTTTTAACATGATTATATTGTGTTTTCTTTAGGGTCAGGAAACTTGGTGAATTATAGTCATTTTCAGCTGGGAGTTTTTGCCTGATCTTTCTCAAAGGTTATGTTTCTTAATCGGGCCAAACCTCTACTTATAAACTAGCTTTTATGATGGAGTTAGAGGCCTGATTCGAGTGAAAGCTATCCACTTATCTGGTTATCATTTTATTCTGGTTGCTCGCATAGGTAGCTCAATTGGTCACAAAAGTGAAGTTTAGAAAGAATGATCAGGAATCGAGTTTTACCAGCAAAGTAAGGTGAACTCTTTGTGGGCAGTAAGCAAAGGTCTAAGCTCTGTATTCAACTGAGTTACAATGATTTACATATTTCCATATGTCGGGGTGTGGGCCATTGGGGTTATTCAAAAAAGTGTTATGCCGTGGAATCGTGTTCATAATTATAAAATTTTATGTTCATAATTTTTGAACTTCATATTCACAATTATTGAACTCTATATTCACAATTACAGAACTCTATGTTCATAATTATAAAATTTTATGTTCATAATTTTTGAACTTCATATTCACAATTATTGAATTCTATATTCATAATTACAGAACTCTATGTTCATAATTATAGAATTCTATGTTTATAATTTTTTAACTATATATTCACAATTATGACAGTCCACAACATAATTTGCCGTTATTCAACCTTTTGGAAGAATCATTTTACTCTGATTAAACTCTTGAATTTGTATTTGATCTGCTACTGCAACGCGTTGGGAGTTAAAGCCATGCCATTGTCGGACCCATACTTCACTTCCTATAAGTTTCCAGATTATTGAGATGCAATTTGCAATATTTTGCATGCTGTAAAATGGAAAAATAAAAAGAAATTGCCCCCTGCACCAGAATGCACCTCAGAAGCAGTTTCTTGGATTATGAGTACCCTTTTCTTGGAATTTTATCTCCATTTTCTGTTAACCCTTCATCTGTTTTCCTTGCAGTCTCCAGCAAAATCACATGCCATTTCCATCACCTTGCACGTTGCATTACAGTGAAAGGTGGAGGTCAGTAAAAGGTCAAGTCCAGCATTAAGTGACTAATGGATTGATGGGTAAAGGGCCAAAACCAGCACTGACCTGCCTGACAGGTATAAAGAAATATTAGTTTAATGATAAACATTTGATCTTAACATAAATTATAAGGATTCTGTAACTTTTTTTTTTTTTTTTTTCAGTCTATATACACAAACAAACACAAATCTCACACACACACACACAATTGAGGTATTGGTGAGTAATTTTCTAAATAACCTTCATGTATCATCCACACACACACACACAATTTAGTCTAGAAATAAGGGAAACGCGGCTTCATTCATGCCTTTATATAGACTAGGAACATTTAGCTAAGCAGCCTAAGTTCATAACCCTTAGCACACAGAAAAAAAAAAAAAAAAAAAAAAACACTTTTCTTAATCTGTTGATTAGTTTATCAGTGATGGCAGGACTAAGAGAGAACAGGGGCAATTGTGTTGTGCAATATAACACTACTCTACCTGGGAACAAGATTACTTTCGATCTCCTTGGAGCCATTGCCAAAGATGATGTTAAGGAGGTGGAAGGTCACATAATAAGTAGCCCTGGGGATCTCAGGAGTTACACTGTTCTGTGCATTAGCTGCAAGCTGGGCTCCCTCAAAGTTGTTAAGAGTTTGGCTAACAAGAACCCTCGTCTGTGTCTCGAGGGGGACGATAATGGTGGGAGGATTCCTCTTCACATAGCCATCATGGAGGGGAAGGCTGAGATAGTAAAGCAGCTTGTGTTGGCTTGCCCGGAGTCCCTTGATTATGTAACCCCGGGTGGCGAAACTGTCATCCATTTTGCACTGCTCAAGAACGGCAGCAATGGCGGCGATTGTTCTTGCCTGAATGTCTTAAGGCAGGAGATCCACAGGCTCAACAAGCATTACCTCTTGGAAGACCTGAACCCAACAATTGCCACCTCCATAGCTTCCTTTGAAATACAAGCCTCAACAAACTCTGCTCAGGTCTGCCTCTGATCTTCTTTTTCAATTCTATTTGGGCACTCATGTTATTGGAAATTTTAGTTTAAATCACGATTTTAAGTGACTGTTTTATGGTATAAGGTGCATGATAAGCACACCACTGCTGAAAATTATGGAATTTTAACCACCTGAAAGTGGGCTTAAATCAAGTCGAAAGCAAAAAAGTGGTCGGAAATAACAATAAAGGTTTTTCCGGATACCAAAAGGAGTCGGAACAAGGCTTTCGACTTGATTTAAGATCACTTTCAGGTGGTCGGAAATTTCATAATTTCCAGTAGTGACATCAGAATCCAACAAGTAAGGAATCCCCACGCACATGGACCTAGGCTATCGGAAGCAACTTCTTCCGCACCTGTGCACGTGGGACACGTGGTGGGCATGTAGAACGCCCGACATGTGCTCCCTTCCGATCTCTATAAATAGCACATTACATGTTAGGTGGGGGACTTTTGGACTTTTTTTTTTTAATAAAAAATTGACTTATCCACCTACCCATGTTGTCTCTGATCTACCTGCAGGAGGTTAGAATTTCAGTGCCACCTTCAAACGAGGCAATGAATACTTCTCCTCCAATGCAGCAGCATCAGCAGTCATCCATGCTGCTAAAAGGAACGGCATTCACAGCCGGAGTTACCTACACCGGTCTATTCAATTTCTTCACTGTATTTCCCCATGATAACAACCCCAACCGCTTAATCAGAACCTTCACTTCCAGGGAGGCTTTCTTCTCTCCCGGGTCGCTCCCAGAAGGCTTCTGGTTTCTCACTGTCACCACCTTTGCATTTGTATTAAGCACGATATCGAGCTTGGTGGCGATTTTCTGGGCGGGCAGCCCGTGGTCCTTTGCAGTGAGAGCAGTTTCACTACTGGGATTGTCCTCTTTGTTTCTCAGCTACTTGATGATGCTGAAAACACTGGTTCCACACTTTGCTGTCATCTCTGCAAGTGGTCATCAAATCCTTTCAGGCTTCCAGCTGCTCTGCTTGTATACCTTCCTTGCCCTTCTTCTTTCCATGGCTGTGGCGCTGATGGTTAGATTCTTGTGGACTTTCAGACCTCAGCTCGCACGCATGCATGTCGTCTAATCAGTTTGGTTCTTTGGTAATTAGGGATTGAATTCAATTGGTTCATGACATATTCACTCTTAGCTTTCATGCATCTTGTCTGTAAAATATTTTAGGGACTGTGGGCAACACAGTTGGTCACAAGAGTGAATTTTGGGAATAATATAAAATATTTTAGAACTTAATTAATTTGAAGTCTTTGTAATTCTAGGCAGAATACAATTAAGAGACTGATTGTATGTGTAGGGTTGAGAGAATGAATTTTTAATTGTATTATATTGTTTTATTTAATTTGATGAAGTGAGAATTACCTGTTCAGAAAAGAACTGAGAACTATTCATTTATAAGTGAAAGTAATTGCACTTAGGTGCCTAACAAGGTAAAATTACATGCATATATAAGTGAAAGTAGGTGCACTTGTAAGTGATTTTACCTGTACTTTTTACTTGCATATGTGTACCAATTACTTACACTTATAACACACTAAATACACTAAAATTTGAGTTATTTACGAAAATGCGATCGCGTTGCTTTTTTAAAATTACATATGATTCGTTGATCTGGACACGTGGACGACGCTAAATGATTCTCAGTACTCGGGTGGTCGTTCGCATGAGACCGTGCCCCTAAAATAAAATATATTTTTAAAAGACATAAATATCCATATACAAAATCTAAAATAACAATTTTATTATTACTTTTTTGAAATATAATTTATTATTATTTTTACATAAGATTTTTAAATAATATTATTCTATAACAATTATTTTATTGTAAAAAAAAAACATAATGTATAACAAATGGTCGTGGCGGCGCTTCTAGATAAGATCATCTCCATCAATGCATCTTGATGTGGTTTTGAGGAAGCATGGGTGATGCAAGGAGAGAGGGTTAGAAGAACGAAGCAATTGGGTATTTACAAGATGAGAGATTTTTAGATTGAATAAGTGGGACCTTGTACGCCTTCCTGACTGGAAAATTTCGGGAGTATAAATTTGTTTATTTCATGAAATTGTTGTGTAATTACCTTGCCTTTGCCCCAGTATTTATTTTCCTTAATGAAATTTCTGAGTAATAACCCTTTCTTTAACCCAACATTTCTTGCCAATCTTTCTGTACATATTATTGGTTCCTCTCATGAACAGATCAGATATTTCACATTTGTCATGTGGTCCCTTCATAACTTCATCATTTATGGCTACCTTAACAAGGAAAACTTCTACAAAATTTTCCTTCACTTTCTCTTTCAAATTCTACAACTCCGTCACGCCTGGGCGTTAATCTATAGACACTTAAAACAAAAAAATTTTAAAAAAATTAAATTTCTCAGCAGTCAACCATTACCATTTCTTTCTGATCTATTCATGTCCCTATATATGTACTACTTAACCCACAAGTTCTCTAAGCACACAACATAAATTTTTATTATTGAGGATATGGAAGGTTTGGCTTCACTTTCAGTGAAATCTATGCTTCCCACTTCTTCTTGTAACATTGCCAAAACCAAAGACTTTCTTGTTGATATAGAGAAGAGAGAGGTCAGAGAAGGAGAGGACAAAAAACAAACTCTGCTTCTTAAACTCACAGAAACCGTATCAAGAAATCAGGTAATTAACTGCCACTCATTCTTTTATTTTCTTCCTCATTTTCTTTAATGTTTGCAAAAACATGAATTGAACCAGTGATTTTTTGTTTTTGTTTTTTGGGGTAATTGAAATTAAAGATTTCAATAGTAGCACACGGCTATGTTAAGAGTATCATCAGGGAAATGCTCAAATTCTATGATCATCTTATCAGCCTCAAGAATCTTCGTGGAACAAAACTACTCTGCAGGGTATGTATGTTTTCACATTTCATTAAATATATAGAAAAATCTAAAAGTATTCATCTGTGTATTATATATATGGGCATGATCAAATGAAAATCACCTTCTCATGCGAATGTGTGAACTACCTATTGAGCAGTCACATTATAGTGTAAGTAATTGTATACCTTACAAATAAGTAATTGTGTATCTTGAAAATAAGTATTTCTGTAATTTTGTAGATATAGTACATCTTATATTATAAATCTTGTAATGTCTAATTTTGCAGTTTGTACATTCTCACGAGAGCAGTGACACACACACATACACAAAATAACGTGCGGTCGGTGCGACTGCGCCAATAATGTTAAAAAATACACTAATAGTGTTAGGGAAACACACAACAATGAAATGCACAAATATACCACAAAACACACAATACACCCAAAACACCATACATCCTTACACCTAATTGTGCGTTTCCGAACACTGTGTGGTGCGTTATGCATACTTAACGGTGCGTTTATACATACTTAATGGTGTGTTTTTGGTGATACGTACTTAATGGTGTGTTTTTGGTGATACGTACCTAATGGTGTGTTTTTTAGTGTATTTGTGCATTTTTGTTGCGCGTTTCCTAACACTATTGGTACGACCACACTGACCAACCGTACATTAAGACGCGACTGCACTGACCACACAATAAGGCACAGCGGTATTGAAACTAGGATATATTACCCTTATCAAAGTTCCATTGACTACTTAATTAATATAATTATGATTATGAATGCAGATTTCAGTTTTAATTTCTGTTGAGCCGAGGAACATAGTGAGATCAATAAAAGGCTTGCTCAATCCAACTCCTCCTGGACTTCCAGGCCAGACAGATGTTACAATAAACGATGAGGTAAGACCGAGTAGTGCAACGACGGCGGCGACGGCGGAGGGTTCCGCTTCCGGGAGGCGTTGGCCCCCTTCGGGAATTCCGAAATGCAAGGATTATGGCACGAGTTTCAAACGGGCCGAAAACGCGATGCTAGTCCTGGCAATGCTGACGGCGGCTGCGACCTTCTCCGCCGCGTGCGCCTTCGCCGGCGTGGTCTCCAAGGACAGTGAGACGGCGGAGAGGGATTTCTCGAGCCTCGCCGGCCCCTTCGTGCTGTTGAATTCCGCGGGGTTCGTAGCTTCCGTGGCGGTTATCATGTCGGTGTTGAATCCGCTGCCGCTGAAACCGTGGCCGCAGATATCGGTGTGTTCTTGGTTCGGGTCTTACATGTGTTTGATGATGAAGCTGTCGCCGCATGAAGCTCTGATTCTGCTCTGTGTCTCTGTTCCATTGCTTGTGTTGGCGGCTACGGGGAAGTTATTCAAATTCTCACAATGGGTTTAGTCCATAAATATTATCCTTATGGAGATGGAGCTTTGGTGTATTTTGTCATGAGTATGATTTATTTATAGTATTTCATGGACTTATTTGTATCTTGTATTTATTTAAAAAAAAAAAAATATTTACCATCATCTTGAAAAATATATATAAAACATTGTATGTTAAGTAATCACTAGGACAAAATAAGTCATTCATTAACATCTGTTAAGTTATAGAAAGGAAAAGGCATAGAAGTATGTAAACATACGCTTATTTTCTCCCTCTTTTTCGCAAAGAATAGGTGTATCATGTATGCTTCTTGAAGGAATAGACGCCTATTCACCCCCTTTTTTAAATAAAAAAACTTTAGTTATAATGAAATCATAACTAAATTATATATTTATATTTCTACAGTACATTATAGATTGTCAACCAGACTATGCTCAAATCATCTTGAACCATGCAAAAGGAACTGAGCATAACATTCCATTGCTCAAATCATCTTGATGCTGGAAATCTTACTTTAGATTTCTTGTAGAAGGCATCATAGTAATAACACTCTGCTTCCAACAACTTGTTACTTTTCTCCTCCCAAAAGGTTGAATCTCCAACCCGAAGGGCCGACAGAGTATACCGGTGCACACAAGGAATCTGCCCACTTTGAACATAATTCCCTGTTACTTTTCTCCTCCCAAAAGGTTGAATCTCCAACCCTAAGGGCCCGACAGAGTATGCCAGTGCATACAAGGAATCTACCCACTTTAGACATAATTCCCACATTGATCTCTTCTCCCAAATACTGCCCACTGAACCATTGAGCTAAGCCCGTGCGGGCGACAACTTGTTACTTTAAAATCAAACGATGGTGTGGCTTATAAGAGCTCAAAAGAGTTAATTTCAATAATACAACTTGTTATAATTATGTTTTGAAATAGTCCTAGTTCTTACATTTAATTACAAAATTGGAATGAAGGATTATACCTTAGTAGAAGAGGGAGTTGAAATGCTCTTAGAGCATGTCCATTAGTAATAGAGATGTCAATTGCAACCTAAATTTAACAGGGTGGATGATAAGACCAATCAATTATATAGTTAGAGTGCAAAAAAATCAAGTCGATAAGAAATTTGACCTAATCGGACAAGCTTTATTGGGTTGTTGGGTTAGTCATTTTGGCTCATTTAGCCTAATTGCCAAAAAGAAAAAAGATAGTGAAGTCTTAACCTACTGTATGCTTGTTTAGTTGTTTTGATATATGATGCAAAAGATAAACTCAACTAATCTAAATATTTTCTTCACGCACACACATGCGTTATCTACTTTCAATCGTTCATATATAAATTAACTTATATGGACAATACCGAAGTAATTATTAGATTTTTCATGAGTGTTTTTTGTTAAGTCAGCACTCTAGTTCTCTCTCTTTTCCTACAAATTTCCAGACTTCTGGGTTCCTTTTAAATTAAATTGAGATACAATTTACATGGTACACAAAGGAAAATAAAAAGAAACTGCCACCTTGACCAATACCTCATAGGCTGCAACTGTAGTTTCTTTGATTTGAGCTATCATTTTCTGTGAAAGATGAAGGAAATTTTATCTATCTTCAACTTTAATTTCTTGTTTACTCGCTCTTAGAACCTCTTTCTTATTCCGTAAATAGATATTTCTATAGTGGCACATTTGATTCGTGAAATAAGTCTGGAATGAAATAGTATTCCCAGTAATAGACCAGACTCTCGGGATTTTGATGGTGAAGCTAGCCCTGCTAGACATTGATAAGTAGTTTTCTTGCCAACCTTAGCTTCATGAATCTTACCATTATACATTGGATGAAGGGGTTAATTGGCCTTTGGCCCTACACGGGGAAGAAATAGCTTTCCACACTAGAAATGGAAAGAAAACCAGGCCAGTATGCAAGGTTTTCTTCATTCATATCTTTTCTTGGAAAATTTCTGGATTTGCTTCGGCAATTTACAGAGATAAATACTTGTTTTCAATGTGTATTATATATGAGATACTCCGCTTTTCCGGAGTTTACTAACCAAGTTGTATAATCACATATTCGAGTAAACACTTTTTAATTTCTTGCTTGATTTGATGACATGCCATACAAACAAAGCATGATGCAGGCACCAGCACTACAGAGCAGGGGCAAGAGTGTTGTGCAATGTAATGCCCCTCTACATGTTCAGGTATGCCTCTTTGTTCAGGAATCATCACTGATCATTTCCGAATTTTTCTTTCTTTTACTACACAGATTTTTGGAGAAGGCTATAACCGGGGTTGAAGTATAACTCGGACTAAATATATCATTAAGGGCTTACTACTACGCCAAAAGTTATAGCTAGTAGCGAAGCTGCAACTTTGTTTCCTTATTCGCCACATCTTTGAGAAGCAAATGCTGGACTTGGCCCTTCAGTCCTCCCTCAACATAACAATCCTCCTAGATATCCACCTGGTGGTGTTGGACTTAATTGGTCCTTCATAAGCCTCCGCCAAACAATTCTTCCTAGGCCATGAATACATCTCAAAAGCAATACTCTCTGCTGCTAAAAATTCTGGTTTTCACTGCTGTAGCTACCTACACTGGTCTCTATAACTACCCAATTATATTTCCACTCAACGACGACAATACTAAACATTTGGGAAGATCAATCAATGCCAAGGATGTTTTGTTTTCTCCCAGGTTGCTTCCAAATGGGTTTTGGTTCCTCACAGCCACCACCTTCACGTTTGTGTCGAGTGTGATGTCGATATTCATGGCAATAATACGCTTGGATGGTTGCAGCAAGTGTGCCTTTGGGGTTCGAGCATTGTCATCGTTAATCTTGATTGCCTTGTTTATTATTTATGTGGTTATGGTAGAAAAGCTGGTTCCACAGTTTGTGGTGATCACTGGGAATAATGGCCACTTTCTTACAGGGTTTGAGATGTTGTGTTTATACACCCTCCTTTTGGCCCTTCTTTCACTGGCTGTGGCACTCATGGTGAGGTGGTTGTGGAGTTTTGCTCGTAGCAGTGGACGAGCAATCGTTGGTAAGATGGTGGGAGGATTGCATGTTTAGGGTTTTAATGTAAATTCACTAGTAGAAATTATGAAATTTTCGACCACCTGAAAGTGATCTTAAATCAAGTCGAAAGCCTTGTTCCGATCACTTTTAGTATCCGGAAAAACCTTTTGTTGCTATTTCCGATCACTTTTTAGTTTCAACTTGATTTAAGATCACTTTCAAGTGGTCGAAAGTTTCATAATTTCCAGTAGTGATTTAGTTTCTAAATCTCATTTCTTTGTAAATATGTTACGTTTCTTAATTAATCATTTAAGTGGCTCTTTTCATCTTTTAAAGTGACTTTTTTTGGTCATTTACCTTAGTAGTCTTTTCTTTAGTAAAGGATGAAAAGAGCCATTTAAATGACTAACTAAGAAGAATATTTAAAAGTTAAAGAGTGTTTTCATCTACACATTGTTTAAAGTGTAATTTTAATCTCAATTCCCTCTTGACGTCCACAAACACTCACCATTAACATCCAACACGTCTGGTTGTCTATGTGGTTTTATCACTGTGGGCTCTTATGGCGGTTGGCAACCCCCATGCAACTTAACATTTTTTCAAGAAGAGTTACTTGCAAAATGTACATTAATCACAAAAAAACAATCATTATACAATGAACCATGGTTTACTTTGCAAAATAGATCATTAACATAAAGTTTATTTTAAAATATAGTGAAAGGTCATTTTTAATACATTAGTTTTTAAAAGTTCATTTTTGTAGTTTTTTTCTTCTTTTTTTTAGAAAGTTTATTATTTGGTAGTTCAGTATATCAAAAAGGAACATTTATCCATGATCTACATTACAATGTGGACCATGATTCATAGTATAATTTGTGTGATCTACATTACAATGTGGACCATGATTCATAGTATAATTTGCACACAAAGAATTACCCTAATCAGAAGAAGTTATTACAACCGAAAAACGATGGTCTTACCGACCGAAACCTAATGAGAGTTAATACCGCATCCATTGAGACTTGAACTCATGACCTCCCACTTGGGAGAGTCACATCATGTCGGTTGACCACAATGTCTTTGACATAGATTGAAACATTTGATTGATCAACAATTAATCTTGAGTTCTTATATTAGTTTTTAATATTTTTAAAAATTCGATTGAGGTTGATTATTGTTGTCACTACCTGCACACCTATTGTGGCTTGCGATTGAAACTCTTCTATCTATTATTGTTATATTAGGTTTAAATATTTGAATATTTGTAAACAAATATATAGGCCTTATAAAACGTATAACATGTAGATCTTAATTAAATAGACTTACAGCGCATTTGGTTTACGGAATGAATTTGGAGGGAATAGGAATGCTATTCCACATGGAATGAAATAGGTAAGGAATAGAATAGGAATTGTATTCTGTTGTTTGGTTGGCTGAAGGAATAGACTTTAGTAATTGTATTCCAGTGTTTGGTTGGTTAAAGGAATAGAAATGGAATAGGTTTTAAAGACATAAATACCCTTATACAAAATAATAATAATAATAATAATAATAATAATAATAAATATGATTATGATATACTGAATGTTATATATATATATATATATATATATATATATATATATATATATATATATATATATATATTTATTTATTTATTTATTTATTTATTTATATACATGTATATGCATGTGTGTGTGTGAGAGAGAATAACAATAACAATAATAATAATAATAATAATAATAATAATAATAATAATAATAATAATAATAATAATAATAATAATAATATAATAATAATAATAATAATTATTATTATTATTATTATTATACAAATACATATTTATTTTTATATTTATTTTCTCACTTATCCCACATCGGTTGGAGAAGTAAGAAATGGAGCCTTGAGGCTCTTATAAAAGGAGGCTCAAGGCTCCATAATTTCAATTGCAATGCTTATCCGCTAGGCAAGCTTGCAATGCCCATCCGCTAGGCATGCAGATGAGCAGACTACTTAATTTAGGAGCTAAGGCTCCATAATTAAGGAGTCTTATACAGTTAATTTATTTTTATTTACATACATATATATATATATATATATATATATATATATA